GCTGGCTGTTGACCAGCACCCCCAGGTCCTTGTCCGTTGAGCAGCTTCCCAGCCACTCACCCCCAAGCCTGTAGCGCTGCTGGGGGTTGTGACTCAAGTGCAGGACCTGACACTTGGCCTTGTTAAACCTCATACAGTTGGCTTCAGCCCATCGATCCAGCCTGTCTAGATCCATCTATAGAGCCTTCCTACCCTCAAGCAGCTTGACACTCCGCTTAATTTTGTCATCTGTAAACTTGCTGAGGGTGCACTTGATCCCCTCATCCAGGTCGCTGATAAAGATATTAAACAAGACCGGCCCCAAAACTGAGCCCAGGGAACGCCGCCTGTGACTGGCTGCCAACTGGATTTAACTCCATTTACCATGACTCTCTGGGCTCAGCCATCCAGCCAGTCTCCAACCCAGCAAAGAGCACACCTGTCTAGGCCATGAGCCACCAGCTTGTCCGATGGATGCTGTGGGAGACTGTGTCAAATGCCTTACTGAAGTCCAGGCAGATGACATCCACAGCCTTCCCCTCACCGACTAGGAGGGTCACCTGGTCATAGAAGGAGATCAGGTTGGTCAAACAGGACCTGCCTTTCATGAACCCATGCTGGCTGGGCCTGATCCCCTGGATGTCCTGCACTTGCTGTGTGAGTGTACCCAAGACGAAGCGCTCCATAACCTTCCCTGGCCCCGAGGTCAGGCTGACAGGCCTATAGTTCCCCAGATCCTCCTTCCAGCCCTTCTTGTAGACGGGCGTCACGTTGGCAAGCCTCCAGTTTTCCGGTACTGCTCCCGTTAACCAGGATTGCTGATAAATGTCAGAAATAGACTTGGCTTGGGCTTTTAGCCAAGATTAACTATCCAAAAAATATTTGGACCTCTAGGATAGTCATAGGAGTGCCAAATGCATTGTTGTCACAGAGTTGAGATTTTTCGGCTACTTTACTCTTTCCTTTTACTAGGTTTAATGCTAGCTCTGCAGTTCTTAATGGAGTTTCTTTTACTTCGTGGCTTAAGCAGTATTCAGCAGTAGCTGGACTATGGAGAAATGTCCATCAATTAGGAAAACTGAAGGCACAACACATGCCAGAGAAAATTAAGGTGTAGAACTTTTAGGGCAAGATCTATGCAATTTGTTTGTCTTTCTCTAATGCTGCCCTTCCCTCTTCCCCCTCCAAACCAATAGATGGAAACATACAAACAAAACACTTGTGAAGAAAACAAAAGGGAATTATAGGTGTAATAGCAGTTATAGATGTATAATGGAACTTGTGTGGCTTTAGAAACATTTACGCTTTGAATAATTGGCAAGAATTTATAATGAAATTCCCTTAGAGACATTAGTCTGGTTAAGTATTATTCTAATGAATCTAATACTTAAACGTTTATTTGGAAGCTTTCATGTGCAGCTAATACGGTGACTGGTACACTGGGGATATTTCTTAAATTCAGTGGGTTTTTTTGAGGCCGATATTTTAGTTAAAGGACTTGGATTTTAGTGTGTTACATTTCAAAGAAAGTAGAATGTAGGTTGATCTTAACTGTACTTACTGGAAGAAGGAAGAAAAACAGATCGCTAAGCTTTTTCAAATGAAATACAGAAACCTGTTCTAAGTTCTCATAGGTGCTTATCTTTTCTAGGATCAGCTTTAGAATTAAGGAATACTTTAAGAAAAAGAAATACTTGGTGATATTGAAATAATTTAAAAAGCAAAATTCGTAAATTTGAGGCATTTTGAAGTTTAGCATACCAGCTTATCTAGTAAAATAGACAAACCCTTAAAGTCTTAATTCTGCTCTATATTGGTGCCACATACTGTGATTGAGCCATTTGTAATGTTGGTAGTGCTTTGGTGAATGGATTAGGTTTTTTAAGTTCTATTAGAATGCTTTCCACATCCCATCTGGTGAGCTTATGTTAGAGATAATAGATATCATATATGTGTTTACCTGTCATTCCTTAATAAGGGATATTCTTGTGGATATTTTAGAGCAGAAATGGGAGAGGTGAAGACTGGTAACGTCCTTTGTGCATGTAATTTGAACTTTCTGAGGTTTAAGTCTTTATTACAAAGAGTTTGCAGTATTTATTATTTGACACACAGTATCAGTTTAAAAGTAGAAGATTAACTAACAGTGACAACACTTTACCCAATTATGCTGAGTTTAGAGTAGCTTTCCACTGACAGATCAAAGGATATTTACCTTGCTTTTGGATTGCATATCTTAGAGGGCTGTTTTACTGAAGTGAGAGTTATGTGGAAGTGTGAATAAACAGTGCAGTGTTCTGAATTCCTACATTTTTGCTCTGAAAACTTTTTTGTAGGTTGCTGTTGAAGATGATGCATGGTGGCAAGAACTCCTTCGGAACATTGGGCACACTTGTGCCCAGCTAGTATGTTTGTTACACTGGTTAATCTACTCATACTTCCTTTGTGGCCAGTGTTTCTATTGACTCCAAGATTTTTTTAAATTTTTTTTTTTTCATGGATAGTAAAGGAACTTGTAAGGAACGGAACTGGAGTGTCACATCGCAAATGTAGCTTACTTTTTAGTATTTTTTTAATTGTTACTAAATAATAAAATAGGTGGGGTTTTTTTAGTACTCTTGAGTGCTTCTTGCAAGATCAGAAATAGAATGGTTATGAACATACAGCAACATTATGAATACCTGGTGTAGATTAGGGAGGTATCATTACTGTTATATACTGTAGGCCAAAGCTTGCTGCTAGCAGCTATTTCTACACTAGTTATGGGGATGAAGATGATACTTCAGGCTTTGAGCTGGATAATAATAGATTACAAGTTGTATTAGAACACTTTAAAAAATGCTTATTATCTAAAAAAGAGTATTTGACTTCTGAACAAGAGAAAAAGCAAAAGGGGGAAAACTTTCTAGTTTGCTGTCACTGTTTTTGAAAATATTTATTACTGTTTTGAAATGCTCCAGTTGAATTTAATATATTGACACTTCTAAAAGGTTAATCTTCAGGCAGGTAACTATTGTGCCATTTTTACGTATCTTCCAAATTCCTGACTCTGGGAGTAAGAGTTAAATGGAAAGGGCTCATTTGATAATAATTTTTCATTTTTGGATACAGCATTCACTTTAAAATCTTGGAAGTTGATGGGTAAAGTAACAATAGTAGAAGAGTGGCAGTGATTTTTTTTTTTTTCAGAAATTACTGTGACAAGTCTTGAAGTAATCTTCCTCTAAAGACTTAAGTGTTGTTTTCTTTAAAGCTGCTGAGTTGATATCGCAGTGTAACTGTGAAGATTCACAGATTGCATTTCAGAATAGACCATCAGTTCAAGTATAATTTGTTTGCTCAGTTTATATTAATATAGTCTATTCCTTTTCTGAAAATTGAATGAAAGTTGCATAATTAAATATTTTGACATTTCTGATTTGAAAGAAGTTTGAGTATTAGGATCACGTTTGTTTCTAGCAAAATTGTGACGTATTTCTTAAAATTTCATTATTGCATCTGAAAAAGCAACTGTGGCAATTCTGTAATATATTAGACATCTGCCCAAGTATGGTGAGCATGCGTTAATAATGGCAGGTATTAGATTCTCAATCTCTTTCACTATTATCTGTCCATTTGCCCAAGTAGTCGCTTATTCTCCTTCCTGACCCTTTAGTTGCATATTAATAGTCTTGGCTGATGTGATATACAGTAGTCATTTTCAGCAGTTAAAGATGTGATTTTTTTTTTTGCCTTTGCTTTTCATTACACAGATAATAAATACATCAAATGATTATTCCCTAGATCAAGGAAAAACAGGACTGTAAAGAGGGGATCAGTTTGGTAAGAATACCTTAGTTCAGTTGGAACGTTTTGCACACTGATGTGACTGTAATACAACCTCTTTTCTTTACTGAAAAGTAACAAGGCACCTGTTTGGATTTTTAAGTATGTGTGTTGCAATTGTGTTTTCTGGTTTATAAATGCTGGGTTTCCGTTTCAGAACTCAACACAGACTTTTATTCAAACACAAAGTATATTTCATGGCAATAAGTGCACTTTTTCCTTGAGCATTTAAGATGATGTCCGAATTTGGCATAGTAGAGGCAACATATATAACTACTTAAAAATATGTTTAAATATTTTTACATTTTTTAGTAAGTGTACAGTTTTTATTCTGAGGGTTGTTGTTGAATCCAATGGTGTATACTTTTAAAAAAATGTCTTGATTTGCTTTAGCAGGTAAAACATTCAGGTAGATTAGACTAATCTCAACATAATAGCACTCATTCATATCAACATAAAACACCTTCATAAAAACAAAGGGGTCTGATCCAAAGTCCAAGAGAACATTTACATAAAGGATAAGGCTTAAAATGTTCGTCTTTACTCTGTGAAGCTATTGGACAGGTGTTTGGTTTTTCTTTTCAGTTTTCTAAACTGCTGGAAACTTGGTAATTGGCATGAGAACAAGTAGTTTAAAAGCATTAATTTTAACTATTTAATCTGGTTGTGAAATTAACCCAGGAAAGGAGGTCCTGTAACCAGTTACATCACCTGCAGCCTGCATCTGTTTATGTTTCAGAGAGTTTTTAGTGCAAACCAGAAGACTAAGAGATCATTTTTCAGGAGAATAATCTTGCTTTTATACTTAGTTTTATTTCCAGTTTTTTATATGTGAAACTATAAAATCTGGGCATTGGTCTACAGTATCTAGATATTGATTCTCAGGATAAACAATTATTCATAACTTTATTGTAGGCTGTTTACCTTAACAGTTATGCACTTGAGACTTTGTTTTATTGTTTTATTTCCTATTGACAACAGTTATGATAGATATTATTGCTGTATATTATGTGCTGGTATTTTGGGGGGCAGTGTAAACCCATGAAGCTGTGTATTTATTAAAAAAAAACCACATTTAAAAATAAACCTAAAAGAAAACCTCGTAATACTTTAGAAACGTCCAGTTAAGATTTTATTAATTCTTCACACATTTATCTTGTGAAGTACGGTATTGTTCTTGGCAAGGTGTGCTGGCAAAGCATATTTATGTACGTTTATTAGCTTAATGGCATGCCCTTGGTGTGCTGATCATCCTGGTTTAGCTTTAACCCTGACTAGAAACCAAATGTGTAATCAGGACCATGATCTATTAAGTAGAAAACTCATTCCAATTCTTACCTTTTTTCAAGCCTCCTTCCAAATTTTTTAGTGAAGTGTAGAATTATTTAGTTACACTGAGTAATTCTTACTGATTCTGTCACTATGTGCCTTCTTTCCCTTTTCCTTGTGTGTTGCACTGAGTGGTGCTGCAGGGTAGAAACTTTGTTTGGGAGGCTGCAAACGTGCTGTAAAACTACTGGGTGCAGCAAGTCAGAAATCCCGGTGTTATACTGGTTGTATATCACTATCTCTTAGCAGCTGGACTGATCTTGTGGTCTAGTAAGTGCTGGAGAATGGTGGCTGGCTCGTTCCTGGCACCCGGCATGTTGTTACTCAGCGCAGCTCAAATTTGCAGGCAGCGTGAAGGTCATATGGTAACGAGTTTTCTCATGTGATAAAATCCCTTCAGTGGAATTTGGGTGTGCCAGTGAAGGCTGTGAGCCTTTAGGATTGGGAAGAGAACATGCATGGCATTAAAACGGTGCCTGTAAAACCAGTCTGTAGATGGGGCCTCTGTTTGCTTGTTGCAAGCAGCAGGAACAAAACCACAGAAGTTCTAGTCGTATCTGTAGAGACAAGTAGCTACCTTATACCTGATACAAAAAGAGCTGACTCCTCTTAGTTTGTATATGAAATGGAAAGTTGTCCAATTATTACCAAAAGTGACATGAATATTAGCAATATTATGGGGGTCCTTGGGAATCTGTTTGGGTTTTTTGACAAATTCTGTTAAATTATACTGGTATGAAGTAGAGGTCAGAGCCCTGGATTAAAAAAAAAAGACAGATGATCTGTGCTTTCCCATTGTTCTTTCATTCCCCTAAAGTGCAAAGGAACTGTCTCTTCACAAGTGCTACGGAGCCTGTGTGTGTTGGTTTGCTAGGGTTTGCTGGAGTGAAGCAATGTGGGGTTTAAACTCTGCAATTGGTATTGGAATTGGAATGGTATTGTTGAGGTAATGTGGTGGTACGTAATGCAGTTTATTGCCTTTCCTCAGGGAGCTGTATTGCAACGTCCTTTGGGTTTTTTTTACTCTGACGTTTTTAAAATGAGTGCTCAGGTATAGTTCAACTGAGGAAGACTTAAAAACAGAAAGTAAGAATATGAATTGTATTTACAGTTGAAACAGTTCACTGTTTCAAACAAGTGTTAGCTTTAAAATATCTTTCAGTGACAGAGACTAGATCCTAATCCCATAAAGGTGATTATAGACTTTAATATTTGTGCATGGAAAGTTCAGCTTACACAGTTGGGAGGTTATGAAAGCGTTAACATTTTCCTATTTTGGTATTATTATTAAGCTACACTGTTTGAGCTGTTTAAAAAGTAATTCAAAATGTGTGGCATAGTAATAGAGGAAAACTTGACCCCTCCTTTTTTTCAGTTTAGGTCTTGTTTGAATCAACGTGCTAGTCAAAATGAAATTTAAAAGGTTCAAATATACTTACCTTAAAGATTCTGTGATGATTTTTTAACTTTTTTTTTAAAGACTTCTTATATATATATATATAAGATGCTGTGAAATAGGTATCCTGTGCAAATTAGAAATGCTGTGACATTCTTTCCTTTTTTTTTCTTCAGGTGACTTTTAATCATCAGAAGTAGTTTTAATTTATTTTTATCTATTAATTTTATTTCAATATATTAATATAAATTAACGTTATGTTAGCATTAATATAAATCAATATTAATATTTTGTTTATTAAAAATTCAGGGTTTAGGCAGATTTCAGAGGGAAAGATGATTCCTTAGATCATGTTATGTGATCAGACTTGTTGCTGACAGTTGTGTTTATGTGTGTAAGCCCACCTGTGCTGGGGTAACTGCCATTCCAAAGCTTGAACATACAGTGGTGTCTTTTGTGGGGTTTTTTGCCGGGTGATATTAGGTAATATTAACACAATTGCTGCATGTGAATCTTCAAATATTATTTTTGTATGACCTACCAGCTGCAGAAGGGATGGCTGTCAGCTCAGTAGGATTGAAGACATCTGATTTCAATTTCAGCATCTCTTACAGACAGTCTTTTAATGGCCTGATAGAAGTCAGCGAGCTGGTTCTGTGCTTGTTGAATTGGGCCAGTGTTTTCTTTTTATGCCTGTTAACATCTGAAATCATTAGGACAGGAACTGCCTCTTGTGTTTTGGTCCATCTTTAGCACAGTGGTCTTTCGAGAACCCTTTGTGTGCTGCTGTGATACAAACAGCAAATTTTTGTGGATATCGCAATGAACAACATTGGTTCCTACAGCTAAAACACTGCAACAAGTTTTGCGTTGAATATCTTGATTTGGTGCATTCAGTAATACTAATGGAAGCTTCAGTTTTCATGTGGTGTATGGTTAGTAATCTTGCTTTGGAGTATAATTCTAAAAGCATTATAAAAAGGGAAGGGTAAGGTTAAAATCTAATTTAAATTGAAGTGTAAACAGGGATTTTTGTACTGCTTTGCTGTCCCTCACACGTCATCTCCTTTTACTTGAGGCCTGCTTCTGTAATTTCCCTTTGATTTCAGCTCCTCTCCCATTCTTTCACCCTAAGCTTGCATTTCATCCTACTTTGGCTTCTGGACTTGTTAGTATTGTCTCTTTCACTCCCAGACCAGCCCATTTTATAATTTCAGAGCTTGCAGTCGAGAAATTTTGCCTTTTGGAACTGTAAAAAGGCTAAAATCCAATAAAAGCAGTTATTGATGACAAATGATAGCAAGAATCTTAAATTTAGTTGGCTTTTTTTTTTCAATTGAACTAAACATCAAATTGTATCAAACCCCATTATAAAAAGTGAAGTCTGAGATGTGGTCGTTTTGAGGTAATGCCTCTTGGATTTTTTTGAAAGATCACCTTTGTCTCCAGATCTTGCCTTTGGAATTTAATGTGATTTGTCTTGGGATTTAAAGCTTATGTTGCCAGTCTTATACATCTTAGGTGTGTTTCCAAGGAGTTACCAAGGTATATAGTCATGTTTTGTATTTTTTAGTCAATATGAACTTTCATTAATAATGAAAAATTATGAGATGGAGTACAGAAATTAAGTGTGGCTGTTACTTTAGCCATGAATTACTAGTATCTGGTGTTTTAATGCTGTATACAGATTCATTTCCATTTTAAGCTTGCTAAAAAATCTAAATGAATGTTTTACTGGAATGCAACAGTTGTATTAGCTGATCATTCCAGCTAACTATATCAGATTGTAAAAATCCCAATTTTTTTTAGCTTTACAAGTGTTCTTTATTCTTCTGCATAGGGTCAGCTTTACCTGCTGGTGACAGACCAGGGCTTTCTTACAGAAGAGAAGGTTGTCTGGGAGAGCTTACACAATGTGGATGGCGATGGGAATTTCTGTGATTCTGAATTCCACCTGCGGCCTCCATCGGACCCTGAAACTGTCTACAGAGGGCAGCAGGATCAAATAGATCAAGTACTGGATTTCTGCCTTTCTGTTGTATTTTTCTGCTTGCTGGTGACTACATATAACAAATAGTAGTTATTCATAGTCACATATGTATACTTACACACGTGTACGTGTGTGTAGCCATGCATATATAGGACTATAAAAAAATTTGTTAGCTACTTAGGTTGGGGTTCTCAGAAGTGCTACTTCGAAGTATTAGCATGACTTTAAGAGAGGAAGAGTAAGACCAACCATTAATAGTTTGGAAAATCTGATTTTATTGTCTCAGAATCCACTTCTGCAGAGAACTTGGGCAAAATGTCACATCTGCCTTGTGTATGGAAACAGAAACAGCACTGTGATGCTTCTGCCCTGTAACAAATCCATTTCAGCTCATCACTATGTCATAACTGAACTTTGCCTTCCGATGTCTGCTCTGCTGAATGTAGGACAAAGACCCTAGCAGATCGTGCGTGATGGAGGCTATTTGTTAATCTTGACCATATACAAGTTTCTAGAAGTTGTGTCTGAGACAGGACTTACTTGTACCAGTTAATGCATAAGCACATAGCAAGACCAAGCTTCTTGAAAATCTTAGTTTCTGAACATGCAAAATAAGGTTATCTTTATAATAATTACCATTGATGATTCTTACATACTGGGGAAAAAATGAAAAAGCAGATGCTTTTTAACAAATTCAAGCACTGTATCTCTCTTGTAGAATAAAGAATCTGGCAGAAGTAATAGGGCTATACTAATATCTTGAGTTGCTGTCTGTTTGGATATATCCCAAACTACCTTTTGATTATTTTCTCATCTATTTAGGAGTTGGTGTTCCTTGTCAATGTGCTCTCAACATTGTTCAGTAGAGGGCGGGCAGGTACTCTGTCACACATAGCCAGGGTGTTCCTTAGAAATAGCAAATTACAAAGCCTTTACTCCTACCTAGAACTGATAAGAGCTGATACTCTTTCTTCTGCTGCTGTCCAGGTAGTGGCATTTAAACCTGTAAGCAATTTTTTTTCTCAATTATCTTTTGTTTTGTATGCTGTGACATAGGCACTGCGAAAGGAGAAATGTAAAGTAGCTGTTTTCAGCCTTTCTGCAGTTCAGGTTACGAACAGGTTCTGAAACCAATTCCTTTTTTCCGTGAGGTAAAGGTGTTTGAAGATGAGGCTGGGAGAAAAGTGGTGGTACTCTGTAGCTGCATGTGCTGAAAAACTCACTTGATAGGACTTGACTCTTTTCTGTGTGAAGGCATTAATAAACAAGTTTACTGTTTAGGATTATCTGATGGCATTGTCTCTACAACAAGAGCAGCAAAATCAAGAGATCAACTGGGAACAGATCCCAGAAGGAATCAGTGATCTAGAGCTAGCAAAGAAGCTCCAGGAAGAGGAGGACAGGAGAGCCTCTCAGTACTATCAGGAGCAAGAGCAAGCAGCTGCTCAGGTCCAGGTAAGAAAGCACTGTTAAAGAATATCACTGCGAGTTTTAGAGAGTATTAACTTCATAGTTAGGTTTGTAAATGTTTCAGACTGGTCAGGCTGCTGTTTACGTTCTGTAAGCCAGCGATGAGATGAATTATAGGAATCGTAAGAAATAGGCTATGCTCGTCGGAGCGCGCTCGCCAATACAGCAGTTGCTGGCACTTCAGTACTTGAAAGCAGGCCGAACCTTGTAAACGAGGGTTTCGTTCAGACTATTTGAGTTGAATTCATGGAATGAGCTTATATGTAAGGTTACAAAGATTGTATCCACTAATATTTTTACATTACTTGCAAAATGGCATTCAGGTAGGAGCTTTTTGATAGTAGTTGAAGTTTTGTCTTTATTTTGTCTTGCAGAAGTTTGTTGCTTTACATTTTAGGCATTTCAGTCTGTGATACCATGCAAATCCAGTCAGCCCTGTTTCCAATTAGGACATTAACAGTTTCTCCCAGTACACCTTTCTGTTCCATCACTGCGTTCAAAATGCTTGGAAAATGTGATTCATGCACATGTGTATACAAAATTGCCACATAACTGACTCTTGTGTTTGAGTTGGTGTTCTGGATTCAGGGAGTTCTTAACTGTTGAAGGCTTTTAAAACTGCTTTTATTGACATATATCTAAAAACAAATCTGTGTGAAGGCCATCTTTGGCCTGAAGCGATCCAGAACTGTTAACTGAGGTGCTTGTTAAGTGTGAAACAAGAATTTTGACAACTAAAAGTTCTGTTAGTTCCCCTGCTTGTTGCTTTAATAGAATCATCAGTCCTTCTAAGGCAAAGATTCACTATTGCTGGCTGCAAAAAGGTGGAATGAACTGAAGGACCTGCTTAACAGGACTTAACAGCATGCTCATTTGCAGCTATGAGTGGCTAACAGCTGGAACGGAGGATGAATTAACAAAACTTACCTGGCCTTTGTATACCAATGCCCTTGCCAAGTTCTTAGCTAGTTTCTAGTCACGAAGAGCTGCTGCTTTGCTGTATCTAGCTGTCAAAACCAACATGTTATTCTGCAACTCCTGAAGTGTGGATTATGTCCTTGTAAAAGAAACTAGGAAAAAAAAATCCAGTACAGTAATATAGAAGTGACAGAAAACACCTGCAGCCAAATTTTGTTATTGAAACAACTGATCTGAATATGTGGACGCAATGGAAGAGACACACAGGATTTGAAATACGTTTTCAGCTGAATTAATTTTTTAGAAATAAGGTTTGTGGCAGTTCTGGAGTATTTATACAAAAAGACCCTACCTGGATTCTGCTGTTTGCATAAGTTAAACTTCCGTTTGTGGACTTGAACACAGAGTGATAAATCAACCTGCATCTACATTCATAGTTGCTTTATTCAAGATTTTATTTTTTCTACATAGCAGGTGCAAGGTGCTGCTTCTCCAGCGAGCGGAAGACAATCTGGGAGTAATGAACGCAAACGTAAAGAGCCTCGAGAGAAAGAGAGAGAAAAAGAGAAGAATAGCTGTGTTCTCTTGTAACAGAAAGTGGATTCAGCCTGGAGCCAAGTGCATGTCCTCAGAAGCAAAAACAAGGAATAAAAAGGAAGACAAACCCGTTACATGCCGCCTGTGCCTGATTACCCCATGGATTTTGTTCACGTTTCAAGAGAGGATGGGTGACTTTAACAATCATACAGACTTTCTTCAAAGTCATAGTGCGTGCTGCTCAAGATGGGATTCCAAATCACAGTTGGATGCGGCTGTGCTTTGAGTTAGTCATAAGAAATACTGCACCTTGTAGCTGAACACACAAATCATGGCAAGTTTTGTGTCATAGTGACATCCATTACTCGTTACATCAGTTAGTAAGCTATTTTATCTTCTACTCTAAGCAAAGGAGGTAATCCATTTTGTGTGAGGCTTTCCCCTGAAGGCTGTACACTAGCACAACAAGAGTTCTGTGTTACTTACATGGTGTGAAACTATATCTTAGGCTGGGTATAGTCTTCACGACACAAGAGCCCAAATAACAGCTGGGCACTGCCTCCTCCACGTGTCCAGATTTCTTTGCTTCTGGATCTGGTATGTTTAGTTTTTTGAAGCCAGATTTATACTGTGTTACTGCTATTATTGCACCTCCTGGCCAGCTTTCTTGCCCCAAGAATATGTGACTTGATAGACGTCACACAAAAAATTGTCATGGAAAATGGGGCATTTATTAATAAGCAAGATGAATATTGTTTGCTTTTCTTGCAATTACAAACTGGGTATGGCAACTCAGATGTTATCAGGGTTAAACAAGTAATTTTATAAGTAACTTCTTTTTCTTTTAGTATTTTTTCTCTTGTAGGTAAACTGGACCAGATAAATTCTTATTTATTGACCTCTCCATATGATAGGTGACTGATGAGAGGAAACTAAGGTCTATAATAATCATTATTCTATGTAAGAATGCAGAGTTAAAATAACTAACTATCTGCCTTTTTTCCAGAAGTACCTTGAACTTTAACATGACGTTAACATGTCCACTTGTATGTTTAAGCAAGTGTACTGTAGTTAAAAACACACTTTTTTGTTTGTTTTATAAATCATGTATCCTTAAAAAAGCACACTTCTGAAGGGTGAGAGAAAAGCGAGGCTGCTCTCTGAGATTGTTTGGAAAGGTGGTCAGGTGTAATATTTTGTTTTTTAAATCACTAATTTAGAATTTTTGGAAACCAGATTTTTCTAATTTATGGGAACCAAATAAACTTGTCGTGTCTTGTAGTATTTATAGAACACAAACAGAATACTTGCTGAATTTTGAGGGAACCACAAATCTTCTTCCACTTCCATTAAGTCAATACCAATTACCCTCTTGCTGAACTTTTTGATAAAAATTTCTATTTAGCAATTTGTAGAAGCTTTTCAAAAAGGCTGCTTCTCCTGGACAAGTTCGGTGTTCATGCTCTGAGCCTGGGTAAGTGCGTTAGCGCGCAGTAATCTAGGGGAAAGCTCAGGCAGCCAGGTGGGATAGGTCATTCCTGGTTTCGGGTGTTTGGAGAACGGCTGTAAGAGAGGGTGTCTGAACCCAAGTCCACCGGTAAAAAGCTGCTTGAAAAGTCTTTCGGGCAGACTTGCCGCGGCGATGGGAACCAGTCGTCACCTAAATCTGTCAGGAAGCAAGAACGGAAATTAGACTGATCACGGAAGAATGTCTTATTAACTAAAGGGCCAGTTTGTATCACATTTTTCTTCCATGCCTTGTTCTCTTTTTTTTTCCACTTTTGTTACACTTTCCCTTTTATAATAATGTAGTGAACGGTAAGAGGTCTCTAATACACAAACTGTAAATTTAAAAATGTCTCTATTCTCTAGAAGTCATGCCCAGAAAAATAATTTTAATACTTAATATATGCAGTTCAGATAATTTTCTATGTCAAAGCAAAGGTTGATGTTTTTTTCCTTTGCAGCAGCCTAACTTCTTCAGACAAATTAATGTGATGGAGGATCACCAACATAATGACTTATCTACTTTAAGCAGATCAGAAAATATTCCAATAGTGTCAATAACAAGGACTTTAAGCCAGAATGTTGTTTAAAAACATTCTGTTACTAAGATTTTTTCCAAATTTGTGTATTTACATTTATTTATTGACCTTGAAAAATAAATATGTCGAGCTAAGTGTTTGTTATCTTATTATTTTCAGTGACAGTATTGCCACTTTAAATTCCTTTTTGAACAAATCTAGCTGGAGCAGGCATGGTGGCTATCGAGTATGTCTTTTTGCCTAAGATACTCGCCCGTATTAGCAGATTTCATGTAACATTTCCAGTTTCAGACAGATGTGCCTGAATCCTAACACACTGTCGTACAGTAATATTGTCATTGGGTCATAGAGGAAGAAGAGTGAAATGTCAGTGCTCGTGACAAAGTCCGGACTCCCAGATAATTCGGTTTCTCTTTCAATGAAGGAGTAAAGTGTTTCAGGTTATTTGAGGTGGCAGGCATGCTATTCAGACAGCTTTCTCTTCATACCCTTTTTTCTTTACAGGTCTTGAAGCTTTGGGAAAAAGGTAAAGAATTCCTGAAATCCAGGGCATTGTTCTGTGTGAGTTGAGCTTGTTAGAAGCAGAAGTTATAAGCAGATGATCTTGTTAATATGCAAAATGAAATACACCTGGAAGTTTAATTGATACCCTACTGTGACTAAGCATGCCAAGAGCGGCTACCACAGTTGGTATCTATGACAGTGTCTGCTGATCAGAAAAACTGAACAGGATTGCTTTTATCTCTAATAGTGAGCTTGGAAAACAATATCACAAAGTATTCATGGAGTACCAGAAAGACATTTTTTACTATTTACTTAATTTGCCTTTTGTTTTTGAAGCTCATGTTCTGACAAAAGGGTACAGATTTATACTTTTAAATCTGTTTATAAAGTTTAGCATGCACATGCTCCAAATACCTACGTACTATACTAGAAAGTGTCCAGAAAAGTAGACTAGAACTTGTTTTCCACTAGGTAAAGGCTAGCACAGAAACCAGAATCATAGTTTTTGTTGTGTTGTAGTTGTGAAATAAAAAAAGCTAAATACAAGTATTCTTAAAAATGAGCAAAAATCAGAGCACTGCCGTAGTGATAAATGTTTTTCTAAAAGGCACTTTGTAAATGCTCAAATACACCACTTTTCTGTGACACTGCTACGGAATCTGCGACCCAGAGATCCCGAGGAAGGCTGTAACGCCAGAGGATGAAAGTAGCGTTCCTGAAAACTCACTTGAACACAATTGCCAAGCCTATATTTTGTAGCTGCCATCTAGTCAATATGATGAAGTGTGTGTTCAGCTTGTCTCTCCAGAGCTGCTCTTGTGGCTCCCAGGCACACAAGCTGGAAGCGAAGCCTGTGCTCGTCTGTGTACACTCGCATTGATTGCCAGCCAGTCTCTGCAGTCATTTGGTATTTCACGTTGTTGTCCAATGTTTCTCCAAACTTGTATACACAAGTTCTTGAAAAAATTTTCCAGTATGTAATAAAAGGCAACTTGAGTTCTTGAAATTGCATCTTTTGGTGTATTCAGCAGGGAATACTTGAGTACAAGGTGAAGCGGGTGTACTTTTAACGGAACCTTTCTTCTTTCCTGCTACAGTAGATGTGTAACCCAAAGCGAGCTCGTGGCGTAGATCAGCTTTCTTACCGGTAAGGTGCTTATCGTAGTTTCTGAAGTTTATACGAAGTACATCCCTGAGTACAACATACTGAATTGAGCTGTACTTATTTTGTGTAAAAAAGTAGACTTTGTACAGGTTGTAACCTTAAACAGCAGGTGCCTCGGGAAATGCAAGTTAATTGCTGCGGCAGCCTCATTAGAAAGCACATTGGAGAAAAGCCAAAATAACATGCAAGAACTAAACCAAGTGCATTTTGTCTTGTGATTCGGTGCAGTGACTCTTTTTTCGGTGTCACTGGCACTAGACTGTTGGCAGCGCAGTTCTGAGTGGGAATGTTTGGTGCGGTGAGTTACACCGCCTCATACGGAACCGTTGACTCGGAAGCCCCGTTGATGTTGATTTCCATAGTGTTCCCGTGTGGTTCCTTCTGGTTCGCAGCTGTGCTCATAGCTGTCCACAGAAAAGCCATCTATTGAAGCTCAGCTGTCATCTGCTCTGATGGGGGAGAAGCGCTGCAACGGAATGCTGAGGAGGAAAGAGGCTGGAACGTAGAAGTCCCTCCACCACCTCTGGAGGCTATTTAGGGATTTTTCCGTAATATTGCTGTCCCTTTAGACATAACTAGCTGTAGCACAGCGTGCTGCGGCCACATCTTCTCACCTAGGTGATGACCAGCATGCTTACTGCATGGTGGGTTGGCAGCACAGTTGCCCGCACTGTGCTTCGCTCTCGTAACACTTCTCGGTCAGGATTAGCCATTCTGACCCTCCAGTAACTCAAAATATTTTTAATAAATGTCAGTTGTCTGCGGTTCAGTTTTGGTCCTTGTCAGCTCTGTCACTGAGCTCCACTTGCCTGGTGAGGCAGCTCTAGACCGCTTGCTGACAGTTCACTGCCTTTGCAGTTCCCTTCCTAGTTTGTGGGATTACTTGCACTTAGGGAGAAGCTTCATGTGGTGAAATGAGCAATTCTTTGGTTTTTGAGGTTAAGAACTTTATCTAGTTAATAATCTTTAGAAGTCAAGGTGCCATGTTTACCTACACTTGACAGCCCAGAAAAACTTTGACAGAACATTGTTGGGCTTGGGAAATCCGTAGGGAACAATTCAGGTAAGTTTCAGTGCTTGACTTAACTGAAACCCTTGCTAGCTTCGCACAAACAGGAGGCTAATTTATTGTTACAATGTGATGAAAATAAAAGGCATTTGTTTCTCTAATGCAATCTGTTGATGAAATGTGAAGTAAGGACTTTCATCTCTGGTTGAGTCACACGTTTGAGGAAGCGGGGGGGCTGCGGCTGGCAGTCCCGCTGGGGCCAAAACTGAGGGCAAGAGGCGCGTTAGGTACAGTCAGACACTAAGCCAAACGAGAAGAGATCTTGGGGGCAGGCAGGGGCACCAACTCCTGTAAGTGTTATGTGCCTTTAATCAGTCTCTAACTGTCCTTTAGTGCTGACCCAGTCGCAGGTTAGGTCCCATCCAGCTTCGGGGGCACCTCCTGTGAAACTCCTAAAGATGGGAAGTGGCCTGGCGGTGCCTCACGTGACACCTTGAGCTCGCGCTGACCGAGATCCTCCACCACAGAGCTGGATGACGCAGGGTGGTACCTGGCGGGGCTCAGCTGCAAGTTCATGTTCTCTGTTCTCGTTAAAGCCATCAGTACAACTTCACAGACTTTGAGTTAAGACTTCAGCTGTCATTTTTTTCGAAGTTAAGATGATGCTGAGCAGTCTTGAAAATTTCCCCTGACGTAGTTTAACACTTAGAGATTTCTTCTAAATGTGTTTCAGAACAAGCTGGGGTAACTGGTATTTTGGTCTGAAATTTTCTGTTGAGTTTTGCTCTGGTTCCCTGGCATGTGCCAAGGAAAGGGTCAAAACTGCAATTAGAAGAAAGAGCCGTAAACTTAAACAAGCTGAGTAGTGGGTACATCCTTGGGTTTTGTCAGCGCTTGTTTTGGGGAACTCCAAAATAACAATATGAAAACAGACAATTTTTTTCCCCTTTATATGAACTGGCTGCATCTAGTCATTAATATTGGCATCAAGTGGTTTTCCTTAAGGCTTCCTGGTGTGGTCTGGTCTGTGAAGCTGAGGAGTTAATGTTTGTACTTGTAATCCAGTAGACACGGCCAGGCACTCGGATAGTAACGCTTGTGCCTTCGGAAACGGAAATAACGCTGACAAAAGTGGTACTTACACTTACCCACTACGATGCTTTTAAATACAAGAGCTGTAGAACAGTGAAAGGAAAACTCTAAACAAAGCTTTTTACCGCTACCAAAACGTAAGTTTGGGCAATGGTAAACCACACAGTTCAATGGGAATTATGAAATCGGGTATAAGAGAATATTAGTGCTGTTACACACTGCATCTAAATGAGCACAGAATAGGCAGGAGTTTCACAAGAGGAGCTGTTAGCCAGCTGCTGCGGAGAGGCCGTCTGGTTTGGTGTAAGGTCACGCCGCTCGTGAGGACACAAGGCAGTTTCCCCAGCCGTACCCCTGCCCTCCTCCGCCAGCTCCCAGTCGCCGCTGGAATGCTGAGGTCATGTCACACGGACTCCTCCAGGTAACTTGTTACGTTCTGTGTCACACTGGGATTTAGGACGTGTGACAGCTGTAACGAAGCTGGCGTGGTTATTTCTGTCCGTGCTCTAAATGTGACAAATACAGAAAATGGGGTGACTGCTTCCCTAACGGACTTGGCAACTACCCTGAGCTGTTCTCTGCTCTACCGGCTTTTGCAGTCTTGGGAAATTAAAGAATGCATAAAAGCTTCTGAAGCAACATAATGACTTGGCAC